ATGGTAACACAGGTTGGAAACCGCAAATTTTTCACAAGTTTAATACGTAAAGAACAATAATTACAATAGAACACATTAAAACTTTTAACTACTCTATTTAATGACTATAGTTTTTAAATATTAAATTAAAAAAAATATTTAAAATGTAGGTACAACAAGATTAAAATAACTGAAATTAGGACACATACAAATTGGCTCCGAAAAAAAATTATTTACACAAAATGGTGTAGATTAAAGTTTAATTTTTCAAGCCAACATTTTGTCACAAGAGATAGTAAATATCATATAATGATATTATGTGAATTCAGTTATTATATTTAACAGGTGTTATGATACATGTTACAATTATACAACATGTAATTTTTAATGTCTAATGCAGTAATACTGCAAGCTATAATATGATATACAAATTCCGTTATATCAGTTTTTGTATTATATCATAACTCATGAGTTTTATTGTTAGTATATTCGCAGGTAGCAAGTGTAAGTTAATTTTAATATCGTTTGAATTTTTCTCTTTCAATTATAGGAACATTTATATTTTATGGGACAACTTTTTTTTTGGTAATTATTTTGGGGGACTTTTTAGGTGAAAAAAATTATAGTGATATTACAATGTAGTGCACAAATTTAATTTTGAAGTTATAGCTAATTAAAGTTTACAACTTTATTCTAAAACCCCTAAATACTCATTACGCATTTTTTAGTAAAATCAAAAGTGTGATACAGTGGTAACACCACTGAATAATTATTTAATTAACTAGGTAAACCAAATTCGATCTCCCCACAAATAAAATGATATTTTTTTTTTATATATTCCTGAATTTGTTTTAAATACCCATATACATAACACATATACACTTGACGTAATCACTCGTTTGCAGTTAAAAATGAAAATATCCCCCGATTTGCTATGCAGTCCCAAGTAGGTTAGAGGATAAAATGTAAAATGCGACAAATATAATAAAACACGTAATATTATATTATCATACAGATTTGAACGTAATAAAAAAAGAAAGATGCAAATAATTTAGTAGCATTTCAAGTGTTTTGAACCCAGTGTTTTTCTTTATTTGAAAGAGCCGCATTACTCATTACTTAGATAGAGTTTTGAATCATTATCCAACATAGGTTATTTAAGCAAAACTGTCAACTTTATATGACTATAACTACAAAACTAATGATCAGCGCCAATTTTCGTTTGCACTATCGTATTCAGTGTTAAAAATATATAAAACAAAAAAAATATAATTCTAAAATTTAGGGTGCCCCATAAAGTAGAAATATACCTAATAATATGATTGTGTAAAATGTATGTCAAATTTATTATATAGCATTGCTTAGGGCTGTGTGATTAATTGAAATATCCGAAAATAATCAAATAATTGAATTAACGAATAACCGAATATTCGAAAAAAAAAGTTTAATATTAAATTAATTTTAATGAAAAACATGGCTATTTTCGATTTATTTTAATTTTTGCTATATGTAGTATATCCGTTTTAATCTGTCGTTATTTAATGAAATGTCTTCATTTAAACGATGTATTTGGATTTTGTTTTCGTTTATTTTTAGTAAAAGTGGCTATGTATTAAATGACCATAGATCGTCGATAACAAATGAACATGCAAGCCAGCTAATTTTTCTATCCGCGAATAAAGATGATATAGCAAAACCAGCGTTTTAAATATGTATAATAATAATTTTAGATTTAACAGGTTGACCGCCATGTGTTTTCTTTCGAGTTACTCATAGCCGCCATGAGACTCTATTTGGGGTCTCAGCTAAGTTACTTAAAACCGTTATTGAGACTCTTTTTGTAATCTCAATGACTATAAAAGTTTATACGTCGATACTCCGAATAGTCTCAGTTGTCGTAGTTTTTATTGCAGAATCGAATTCTACAGTGTGACCACTATAATTTGGTGTTTTTAGCGAACGTTTATCTTTATTTGTAAATTTTTAAATTAAATTTATCGATAACAATATGAATGATGATACCAATGAAGTTATCTGGTCATGTTTGTGGTTTTAGTTTTAGGTTGTGATATTATCTTACTATTCCAATTTATATATCATAACTACTGATAATATTCATCTTGATAATAATATGGTAAACTTTTAAAAAATGAATCGATAACCTTTTTTTTTTTTTTAAAAAAATTGTATTGGTTTGTTTTATTGTTAAACTGTTGGGTACTAAAGTACTTAAATTTGTTTTATCTTACTGTTATAATATTACTTATTATTATTAAAAGGTAGTGCACCTAAGGAAAATGTTTCTTTTTAAATTTTTATTATTTTTGATGTAAACTTCTAACCTCAAGTTCCTAAACAATTATATTATACAATCGAATATCCTAAATTTAATGGAATGAAAATATTATTACAATATTACTATTTTGAGAACCTATTTGGTATCTCAGTTTGTTAGGAATAATCAACAATTTTTTACATGTTACTCACCACCGCCATGAGAATCTATTAAGGGTCTCAGCTAGAATTTGTCCAAAATAACTGTATATCAGTCATATAATTGATACTGAACCCATATTTAAATTTCCAGCAAAATCCAATCATTTTTTTTATTTCAGATCAAATTTGAGTAATCACATTAAAAATACCATGGCGTCAGGGAGAAAACTAGTGAGCCCCCAAAGAGTCTTATGGTGGTCAACTTGTTAAGACTCAAAACTGAATTTTAAGGTAAACAGTTATTTTTTGTACACAAGATGATGTTATTTTATTTGTTATATTTTTTTTATTTAATAAAACTTTTAAATCAGGTTAATTATTTAATTATTACTATTAATAATAACTCAATAGTAAGATTATTTGATTCTAAATTAAATGATTATTCTATCAATAAACAATTATTCAATTATAATCAAATATCATTTAAATAATTAAATATTTCAGAGAAAAAATAACCGCACAGTCATTGCTAAAATTAGCATTACTAAATAATGTTAAAGTATTTGGTAATCAATATGTAAACAAAATAATTTGTATAAGAGCCAACTAAATAGTGAATTTTAGAGAGCCAATTTTAAGGTAAAACTACTGGTTATCTCATTTTGGAAGCCAATTCAACTGCATCAATGAAAACTAAATTACTACTGAAATTAAATATATGGAATCCAAAATTTAAACTTACAACCAACTCGATTATAGTGAAAAAAAATAAAAATTAGATGAAACCAACAATTAAATTTAGTATTCTGGCAATTTAAAGTATATTATATATTTTTATATATTTAATATTTATATTATAAAAATATGTATATACAATATACATACATATAATAAAATAAAATTATTTAATTTAAATTAATACTTTTTAAATAAAAATTGAGTACTATTAAATATATAAATAATTTATTAAACAAACAATTCTTTGCTTTGAGTATTATTGTATTATTGCATATATTTATGAATATTGATTCAAGAAAGCACTTAGTGTTGTAAAAATATTTTTATGTTTAAAACAATATTCCAACAAAAACTTTTATTATTCCTGTTTTCAAATAATATTATAAGAAATACTTAACCATTTTAAATTAGATTTTAAAACTGATATTTTTTTTTTCATATTTCAACTTGTGTTCAGATATACTATGTATTTACAAATTTAATGAATACTAAATGTCACAAATATTCTTTGGATCAAATTAATACTTTTTACTGGCTAGTGAGTACACTAATTAAAATTTTTAATCTTTACACTATGTGTATGCACAGTTCATGTTCTTGTACATCAGAATATCTATTTTTGATACAATTTGGTGACTTTTAAAATCCTAGAGACAGTTAGAAATAAAGGCATAAAGAAATCTAAAAAATTAAAATTTTTTAAAAATTAAAAACAAAATGAATAGCCAATGAGCCACTTTTCCAACTAAATAGATAACAGTGCAAAAATCCTAATTTAAATTTTAATTAATCATACAATAAAGAATTATGATATTAATTAATTCAATTTAGTCAGTAGGAATTCGCCAATAAGTAGTTTCTTTACTACTTTACTTCACTTCTTCATTACTCAAAATGTATTCAATAGGTTTCTTTAATATTTTTTTAATATAATTTAATATTATAAAATTATATTTTTACTAAATAATAATAATTATAAAAATAAAATTAAAAATTAGTTAATAATAAGAGTTAATTTAATCTAAAGAAATCAGAAAAGAAATGTAAATTGGTAAATACATAGCATAATAGAAGAATGTTCATACATTATTCTGATTAAAGCCAAATCAATTAATTATTTTAGTTAAAATATTATACAAACATGAAACATTTAAAGTTAACTAGCATATATTTACTTTGTACCATTATTTCATTTTTTAGAACTCTTTTTATTTTTTATAAAAAATGTTCAAAAATTATTTATCATTAAATGTTTTGAATAAGTTTTAGGATAATTGTTACAGTTAACTTCCTCAACAATTTCTGATTACAATAACTTCTTATTACTATCATGTTTAAAACAACAATAAAAATAAATAATTTTGTTCAAAATTAAAAGGATCAGTTTAATATCTAGTCTGCGGATGTCTTTAATTTAGTAAAAATACTGGGACAGGTAAATTAACAAAATTAAATTAATATTTAAATATTATAATTATAATATTAATATATAAATTGAGTAAAATGTCAATATATGACTTAGTAACTAACATACAATTACTAATAAATTTATTTTACACTACATCATGTATACAATGTAAGTGTATTAGAAGCTGGATTTATTAAAAAGTAAATTAATAGACGGTTTAAAAAAATATTAACGATAATTCAAAAGATGAATTATTTCTGAATCAAATAAATTTTTTTTTATAATTTTTTTTTTTAAATAAGTATTTGAAATTAACTTGTTTAAGGAACTTTAAATTTATTCTGATTTCTGGTTAGAACTTATAATGTGACACATATACTAATTATATAACTAGTAGAAAACGACTATCATACAACTAGAAAAATACACAAATACATACTTCGTGGACAGTTCTTTTTACATGGCTCACAATTGCCAACATGGCAACGTTTCTCACACACATGGTTTTTACAGTTAAGTTGTTTTGAGCATATATTTTGGCACAAAATTGGGGTAGACTGTCCACATTGAACATAAACTTCAGTTTTTTCACATCTACATCTCCTATAAAATAAAAATATTTAAGTTTTTATTCATAAAATCAAAAATCATGTTATAAAAATAAACATTAACCTTAAGACTTGCACAACACATTGTGGACAAGGACCTGGATGGCATAACAGAGTGCATTTATGATGACAATTATTATACTCCACATTAGCATTTTTTTTTTGTAATCCACACATTTGACCACAAGAATGTGGAACATCTATATTGTTCGAATATGGATTTTTAAAAGCACCACAAAAACATAAATAATCCGGTTTTCCAGTCACTTCACTTTGACATGCTGGACACCTCCAAGTACCATCTATATAAATAAAATAAATATTTAACTATACATCAAGCAGAAGTAGTAACAAGTAAATACTATTATAGATTTTTTCTAAAAGTACAGATTTTTCTATCCTACATTTTGATATTACGCAATTTTTAAGAACTGATACATGGGAATATATCAAACTCAAGAAACATATATATAGTATTATTTAAAAATGAACCATGTTTATGGTTTTACTAATTACAGAAATTACTTAACCAAGATATATGTAAGCTGCTATTTAATGACTAAAGTCCTGTTTCTAATAACTAGATTAATTTAAACACGATAACTCACTCGATTGAGATTTAATAAACCAAACCATGATACATTTCAAATGCATAATTTGAAAACAATTACGACAGTTCCAAATTTGTTCAACATTTTTAGCTCGTTCATAACAAATTACACAATCTACTTTACACTCATTTAATAGGTTGGTAAGTAAATCTCTTTGACTTTCATTTGAAGCATCTGGTATAGAATGATCAGTTGTAGTTTCAATAGTGTTAGAGTTACTACTATTCCTAAAATATAAAAGTAACAAATAATAATCAAATGATAATAATTGAAATGTATGTATTTAAAAGTAGTACGTACCCACTATTATTTGATACACTGGAATTTTCAGAAAATGGCACAGGTTGAATTTCCATGTATTCTCTTGAATTTGAAACATTGTCATTGTTAGCTATATAATAAATATGTAAGTTCAATAAAATGTAAACATAACAGACATAACTTTTTTTATATATACATAAAAAGGTTATATATTCTGTATGATATAATATGGATTTTGAAAGTTTTTTAAATATAGTTGAAGATATTTATATTTTAGTTGATTTTACATTTAATACTAATATTAGATATTTAAGTATTAGATTTTTTACATCAAAATCATCTACCTGTGACATTAAGCTTAGGCATTTTATATGAATACACAACTGTATAAATTTTTGATCAAATTAATAAAACATTTCAATAAAAAATTAAGTTGTTTTTTTTTCTATTAAAATAAAATAATTTTGCAACCATTAGCTTTAGGCCAGATAGTGTTTTAAATAAAACCTAATTAATTTTCCAAAAAAAATCTAATATACATTAACAAATTAATTTATATTTTAAATACCCATAACTCCTAGGTATTGATTGTTTACATAATAATTACCATTAGGGATAAATTCAGGTGCGTTAGGTGATAAATTGGAAGCAGTAGATACTCTAGCTGTATTATCATTACGATAATGATTCCTTTTGCGACTATTTGTGCGGGGCATCTTTTAAAGTTACCAAAATTAATAGCTGTAAAAACAAAAATAAGTTATAAATAATTCAACAAATAAAAAAAAAAAAAATTCAAAACATAACTAAGAAAAAATGTAAAGATACCAACAATTTAAGATTCAATACATTTATAGGTACCTTCAATTTTTCATACTATAAATATTCATTGCAAGTTGGGATACATCTAATTCAAAAAATTATTGTAAGAATGTTTAATTTCATTTGTAGAAAATGCTAAATGTTAATACCTAAAGTTTATTTAATACTTTTTTTCGAAGGTAATATGATCAAGGGTAATATTTTTCAAAAATACAAAATATCTTAAATATCTTAAATATCTTATGAACTATTTAATAATAATTAAAAATTAATGTATATAAATAATTTATATATTTTGGTTGGAAGCCATATAACAATTTAAACAATTATTACAGTTAAATAATAATAAAAATAATAGTTAAGTAAGATTATTACACAAAAATGTCATCCAATCGTACATATATATATAATATTACTGAAACTGTAGACTAATTTTTTATTTACTTTTTAAATTATAAAGGCTAATTTAAACTACACAGAGTATTGTACTATCATAAGATAAGCCTTGTATTTAATATTAAAACAAGTTAAATAGGTTAGGTGCATACACAAGGGGGTAGGGTTAGGAGTCCATATTCTCATGAGATTCAAGGAAATTATTAAATATATTTTAAAAGGATAAAAGTAGTTTAAAGATTATATAAGTATGAAAATGTATAACCTAAAACCCCCTCTCAAAATATTTTAATAGGTATACACCTGAAATAGATAATACATAGAAATATAATTTAGGACTTGACATAGGACAATTAATTTTTATCCATAATTCGGTGTTAATTATATTATTTATACTATTATTTTAATTATTGTCCCTTTAACCATCTCTATTCACTTTATATTTTTAAATTATTTATAATACCACTTTTCTCAACTTAGTTAACATTTTTTGTCTAAGGAATTAAGTAAAATTAAAATTAAAAAATAAATCCAACTTCAGCCACCCAAAGCAAGTACTTTATAAATGTAAATAATGCTGTTCTAACATGTATGTCAAACGGACACAAATAAATATAGAAATTTGAAAATGTAATTGATTGAATCTTTGATAATTTGGATAAAAGGGAATTCATAAAAATATTGAAATAGATTACCTACAATTTACTTCACGCAACTAATGATAAATAAAATCTAAATTCTAAAAACGATTACCAAGGTTTTAGTGAATTAAATGGAAATTATTTCATGATTCAGAGGCAAACAACAACCGTCATCTGCAATAAATAATTATTTTTACCGAATTTTGAAATTTAGAACATTTATTCGAATAAAAGCGATGAGGCCACGGCGGGGTAGAGAACAATGAGAACATTTCTTATTCAATGGATTCGATTCGATCGATGATTTATTGACCTTTCAAAAAGTATTAAATCGATACAATATTTAAGTAACGTGAAAAAATAATTGGCACATATGCCCCTGTAATGACCGAGATACAGTGTAAAATCAACTAAGGTTAGCACCTAGGCAATGGCAGGAAAATGGAGATTTGCGGGTTTCCAAGTCATTGGATTAAAGATGTAACGACTATAACAGCGTAATTTTCTTCGTAGATGATTTAATCGTCGTTAATGTACTTACCGGTAAACGGAAGACTGTGTTCTGTACACGGGAGATGACTACGAACATTCAGAGTACACCCGAAGATGATAAAGAATTACTACAATTGCTAATCGACATTCTACGATCGGGGAAATGCCCTGTCACTCTCTCCGGTCGGCGATCACCGTTCAGCGTTCAATGTTTCAAACCGTCACAGTGGTCACACTGATTAACCTTGCACGAGTACTCGTGTCACGTCACGCACTGCACCGTAGAGAAAAATGAGAAGCTATCGAAGAGTAAAATAATTCTTTTTATTCAGTAAGGGCAGTTGTCCAAAAAATTATAAGGACCCGAATCAAAAGAAAGTGGCATAAAATGTGTTGCCATCATTAAATATCTAAAAATTATATTATATAATAACTTGTTTGTGAAATAACATTGTTTCAAAATTGCGTTGATAGAAAAACATTACCTTTTTCTAATTTCTTTGGTTACTTTTTTTTTTTTTTTAAATATTTGACTTTATTATGAAGAATTACAATCTATACATTGAGTACAATAAGTAATATAAATATTTTACAGATAATTCACAGAATAAATTAAATACATGAGGAGGAAATCACACATTTGTTACACCTCTGAATATTTGGTTACTCTTTGGTTTCTAAAAACGTATGTCGTCCGACGCCTGATTTGAAACAAATACACGCGCGCAAGTGGGGTCACCTACAGTGCGACGGAACGGCTTACGTACGTCGTCCGACACGTTCCAGGGCCCAGACCGTCGGTTGAAAATCAAATCATTTTGTTTTTCAACACTTACGTATCTAAAAACGTTAACGATCTCTGAAAAAGCGGAGAAACATGAGCGTGTTCGGACATCGGTATCCAGTGTAGGTAGTATTGACTATTGGGTTTAATGAATTGTAATGTTTACTTTTCTTTGTTATAATACTTAAATTTCGATTATAATAATAATCATTTGATTATTTTTATATCGTTTACTAATCATTTAATTATTTGGTTTTCGACTGCTAACAGTACTCGGACTTGGCAAAATTAAAGAAGGGGACTCTATTTATTTTAAAAAATAGCGTCCCCAAAAATTGTTAAGCATTATAATTATAACGTAATAATAGTAGGAGGTCTCTATAATTTCTGAAAATTAGTTGCGTACTCCGTCCCCCTTCAAGTCAAGCACTGACTACTAATCATTCGATTATTCTTGGAGTCTTAATTCTCAAACAGCCCTGATTCAAGCAGCCGAGCACAAACACATATTTTACCCCACCCCCTGTTCCAACCATCGCCAACCAAACTATATGCGGTCATAGGACGTCCGTCGTTACCAAGGACCATTATATTATTATTCTGTTACCATAACCGTTTCTTCCACGGAACAGTGTCACACTTCCAAACGTATACGTATACGTATGTGCACAAGGTGGTGCGTGCGCATGCGTCCAAGCGCGTATCAGAGTTTGACTTCGATTTTTTCTTGTTCCGACGCGCTGACGCTGCTCTCTCTGTCGTTTACTTTGTCGTTCCCTTCAACCCGTTGTTTGTTCTGCTAGACGAGTGCGACCAGCGAGTGTTAAAGGAGAGAGGACGACGAACAGGATTTAATATTATCAATTTGGCCCCGTTTTTTTTCTCAGCGGCCGCCGTGCGTTTTTTTTAATTTTCTCTATAAACAACAAGATCGTGTTCAAGTAATCAAACTTTAATATTTGCAATTTAAATACTTTTATCGTTCATCGATTAATCATATTCGTATTACGAGTAGGTAATATTTTACGCATTGCTCAAGATGAATATTTGTTGAAACGAGTCGCACCAGCCAGCAGTTCTCTGTCGTTTTGCTTGTCCGTGTTTAATTGCAAGCAGCTGTCGAAAATATGGGTCGTAAAAAGAAGAAGCAGTCCAAGCCGTGGTGCTGGTATCCTTTTTTATATATTATTGTTTAGCTTACCGTATTTTCGTTTAGGTTTTGCTATTCGTCTTAACATCTCAGGTGTACTAACTGTCGAATATAATAGCGAAAAATTATAAACATTATACTTGCCAATTTTTACTGCGCAAGTACAAATTATACATGTACATAATAACATTTATATGTATATTCATGTGTGTATGTGTGAATATATAAATATGTATATTATATGAGTGTTTGCTATTAATATTTATATATTACTATATAAGTAATAGCAGTGGATGGATAATTGTGTTTTATTGTCATTAATTATTGGATTAATATTTGTTATTTGCAACACGTTAATATGGTTTCAGTTGTGATTGATTGTATAACATTGTGTCTTTGAAATTACTTGTGATTATTTGAAAAACAAGTAGGTTTGTGATAAGTGTTAAATGTGATACTGCCAATACATACCTATATCACCTTGAGAAATTACTAATGTAATATATTCTGTGTGTTAACCATTTAATTAATTAAATAAAATATAATTAATTTTTTGATAAATGGGAACATTATTATTAGGTTCACCAGATTTTGAAATTCCTAAACCAGGACATCAATACGAATGACCTTTTGTTTATAGAAATAAAATGTATGCTTGTTTTAGAATTTATTAGCCATTGCATAGGTACATTATTGTTATATATAACCATACTGATTAGATTTCGACAACATAATACGATAACTATAATATAATATTATGGTATACAATAATATTTTATGTTTTATTATTAAATAATACTATATTAAATGTTATTTTCTCTCAGTTAATATTAATTGGTAAAAACTGAATAACCGGTCAGGACACTGGGACATGCCATTAAAACCAGAAAAAATAGTAAGCCTAATTATTAGTGTATTTTCAGAAAGTATAATATTTTATTTAAATTAGGTTAAGTGTTAAAATGTTGAATTTTAACTCGTTTAAACATGTGTTATTTTAATAAAAATATTATTTGAGTTATTACTATTATTATGGTTGCGTAAAAATTGTGTTTTTGCATTTAATATTGTATTGTATTTTATATTTTTACATCGAGTGTGTTTGTCAAAATTAAATTCCAACATAATTGTTGTATAACTAATATATTCAAATACATCAATCATGTAGTTTCATAATAGAAAAACTTTTTAAGAATTACAAATTAATGTAATAAGCTCTATAGAAGTAGAAAAAAATAAAAAAATTTATAAGTAAGTCATTTGGATAAATATATTTTGATATTATTTTTTTCTTTAATTAAAAATTAAGTTTTTTTTTAGTATATATACCAAATTACTTAAATTTTTAAATATGTTGTTATGTAATGTTATGTTAAATATGATTTTAAGTATTTATATTTTTTTTTCTTACTAAATTAAAAATAATAAGTTTGATAAGGAATTTTGATTCTGAAAATATTGAGTAAAATGTTGTAAATAATGTATTAATTATTGTCTCTTATGCATTTGTCAATAAAATAAAAATTAATAAATGTGATATTAAGATATTTCTTTCATATATACAATATATTATTTTATATTTAATAGGAATATTTTTCCTCTAAGGTTTTAAAATTTACTAATTATTCTGATTATGTACTATTACAATAAACTAAGTGCAATAATTTATTTAAATTAGAAATTTCATTTATATTCACATTTTATTGAAACTAAAAATAAATTCAAGTACCTAGCATGTATAAAATATTAAATATGTATCATAAAAATGTATTTACTTTGAATTAGTTTAGTTATTATTTTCCCGAATATATATTGTCTGTTAATTTATTATTATTAATAAATAATATGATTTATTAATAGTACAAAGTATCTATTTAATGTATGAAAATATTTATTATTTAATTTCATTTACAAAAAAAAAAAAAAAAAAATGAACTTGATATTAAATTTGTTTGATCCTTAACTAAATATTCAGGTATTGCAATCGTGAATTTGACGATGAAAAAATTTTAATTCAACATCAAAAAGCAAAACATTTCAAGTGTCATATATGTCATAAAAAACTATATACTGGTCCAGGTTTATCTATTCATTGTATGCAGGTTAGTAAAAAGTTTATTAATTAGTTTTTTAAAACATTTTTGTAACTGATATAATTTAATTTTGTTGTTATATATTTAATTTGACAAAGCAGTTAAAATTAATGATTATTCCTGTAGGTAAATTTAAAATTGTATTGTTTTTTTGCATTAACATTTAATATCAAATACCTATTTTGTAAAGTGATTAAGTTTTGAACTTTTTCTTAGGTGCACAAAGAAACAATTGATAAGGTGCCTAATGCACTTTCTCATCGTTCAAATATTGAAATAGAAATTTATGGAATGGAAGGAATTCCAGAAGAAGATATGAAAGAACATGAACGACAAAAATCTGGTAGCAAAGGTTATGATTTAAATCATTATTTTTAATTATTAAACTATATCATAATTATTTTTTTAATTTTTCATTGATTCTAATGTCATGTCATAAAAAAAAATACCTCAGAAATCTTTATTTGTGTGTTTTTAACTGTAGGTACTCGATCAGATAGTGATGATGAAGCTGGCCCACCTACAAAGAAAAAGCCTGAATATTCAAATCCAGCAGGACCTTCTATGATGCCCCAGTATAATCCTATGATGAATCATATGCAATCTATGGGGCCTCCTTACATGGGACCTGGGTAAATAAATATTTATAATAAATTATTTACTTTCCAAATAACTAATAAATTTAATGTTGATTAGAATGCCAATGATGGGTCCTTCAGTTTCTGCTGGTCCAATGCCACCGGGTCAACCAGTAGGAATGACTAATAAACCATTATTTCCTAGTGCAGCTGCCATTGTAAGCTATACGTTTTCGGATTTAAATTTAAACTAGTCTTATATTATTTTTGTTTTAGGCTAACAATTCTGATACACGTTCTAATAGTTCTATGTTATCTGCTGGAAGTTCTGTTAGTAGCCTGAATAAGACTTCATTTCCCACTTACCCTGGGTAATATATAAAAAATTTCTTTGTAATTCAATAATCATGCACATTATATTTTGATAATGTAAATAAAATATTTTCATAAAATAAGTATATAGTAAATAGTTTTATTAATTTACTCAACTTATATATTTAAAATAATTAACTCAGTTATGATTATGATTATTTTATATCTCAGGCATGATAATGATTCAAAATCGAAATCACTTATAAGTTCTACTGGAACATCTAGTAAAATAATACATCCATCAGAAGACATTTCTTTAGTAAGTTTTTGTAAATAGTTCAAAGTTTTTTTCATTCAATTTATATTTTAAATTTTTATTTTAGGAGGAACATAAAGCTCGTTTTCCAAAGTACGCAATTCATATGGATATTCAAAATTCGGTGCCAACAAGTATTGCAGAGCAACATCAGCTTGGAGCTCCACTTATGTCACCTCATGGACAAGCATCCCCTCAAACTCAGCAATTGCAACAGCAGCATCATATTCATCAACAACAACAGCAACAACAACAGCAGCAGCAACAGCAGCAGCAGCAGCAGCAGCAACAGCAACAACAACAACACCAACAACACCAACAAGCAATTCAAAATGAGGTAAGGTAGAGAGTATTTAGGCAAATGGTTCCAGCTTCTATTTCTTATGGAGGTTATCCATCTCTTAATCATTCAAGGTCCATTAAATGTCCCGTTGATGAATGAAACTACTTAAAATCATAAGGTAGATTTAATTATATGGACTGACTTTTTTGTAAGTACAAAAAAATGAATATTAGGACGGGGTTATATTTTAGGTGAATTTAGGTCTGTTTTTATTTGTTTAGTTTATCATTTTTGTTTTACTGTTTTGCAAATTTTCATCAGTTATGATTAGATTGTTACAAAAAGTACCTAAATTATAACATACAAAAGTTTATCAGGTTGGGTGAATATAAAGTGAGTAATTTTTCAGGTATTTTTGGTTACTATTTGCATCTGCTCGTGAAAATATCTTTTGCTTTATATTATATTATTTATATATACATATATAAATAAATATTATTATTATTATTATTATTATTACTTTTTTATTTTTTATTTCAACCATATTAAGTACTAATCGAATAATTTTAGATGGAACGACAAGTAGCTGCTATGGCAGCAGTTATGCAACAACAACAACAGCAACAACAACAACGATTTGCCAGTCCAGTTATATCAATGCCTAATATGATGCCTCAGCCTCCCACTGTATTTATGGCTCAACAAATGCCAACTCTTCTACGACCTTCATTGGGTGGCTTACCACCACATGCTATGAGCATGCTCAGGCCTCAAATGCCTATTCATCCAGGTAAGCTATTGGATAAATTATTAATTATTGAGTAAACAATTAAAAATTTGTCTCAGGTTTAATGGTTAACCCACCAATGGTCAATCCTTATGCTCCTGGTGGACCAATGGGCTTCCCTGGTGCTCAGATGTTAGCTCCTATGATGCATCCTCGCTTCAGATGATCAGGTTTGTTGGGGGGCGTATTACTCGTGTACAACAACACACCCCCGTCACTTTTGTAAGTTGTTAATTTTTTTTTTTTTTAATTTCCAATCAAAGACAAATTGTTAATTTTATTGAAATTAAAAAAGTAAAAATTTAAACTTGAATTCCTATTTGGGTTTAGGATTTTGTGTGGCTAAAAATTAAGTGATTTTCCTTTTTTGATTATACATTAAGTACATTTTAAAAGCGAAACTTTATAAATAACCTTTCTACAGAAGTTAGTTTTCTTATCCCCAATTATTAAATTAGTTAAAATTTAATAAATTTCTATTCACACAGTTTTGTTTACAGAAAAAAGGAAAAATATTGAATAATAACTGAAACGCAGTTTCAGTGAAAAATCAGTAAGTCCTTTTATATTTTAAATGTCCTTACCCCTCGTTTTCTTTCTTTGGATTTTTTTTTCTTGATTTATTTGTATATTCCCAAAAATAGTTTGTAACTAAATATCACACGTACATTTTTTTGTAGAACGTGTGTGGTAGTATATATTAGTGTGACGTGGATTTCGTACAAACTTTACGCTCGGCATAAAATGCACAGCAAATTTGTTTATATACATAAAAAAAAAAAAAAAATATTGTTGAATGTGTTTAAATTATTTATATAGTGTTATGTTGTGAGAATGAGTAAGTACTAATCACTCACGTATAAGAAATAGTAAAACTTCATTGTTCATCTCTATAAAGCGTGTTTTTAGGTATAGATATATAATGTGCCTACTGATTTCTCAGATGACGCGGTCCAGAATTCTAAAATTTTTGGTATGTCATTTTGCATTTTTATATAAATTTAAGGCATAATGTATAGGGTTTTGAGTACTAACTAATTAGAATTAAAATTATGATTGTAAAAATGAAAATAAGTATACAGTTTTATTATTCTAAATCATCTAACAAATTTACTATCATTACATTATTATAATTTATTATTTATTAAGTACGTGTGTATGATGTAATTCAAGGTAAGAAATATTTGTTTTATAGTACTAAATATTTGAAAATGCACTATTATCAGATTTTCTAAAAAATTTGATAAATATTATGCATTTTCTCTTGTTTCTCGAATAAATGCTAAGCACATAATTGAAAATTGGTTAAATTATTTCTTAAAAGTGAATACTGAATACTCTGAAAATGGTGAGTACCTCATTTAGAAATCATGAATGTATATTAATCCATTATTTAATATTATTTCTTTTCTTATCATTCTTAAAAATCTAATATTGAATCCTCTTAAAATAGTTTATTTACCTTTTGTTTCTGTTAAAATTTGTGCAGAATATTTTACAATTAAAGTGATGTGTAAAGGTTTTTTTTTTCCACCTTTGAATTCAAATTCATTCTGGAATTATATTAATAAAATATCGGTTCATAACTAAAAATTTATAAAAAAAAATGAAAACTACATTTTTCAATAATTTGTGGTATGATTTCAATTTCCTTCAATTTTTTTTTATTTAAAATTGTTCGTTATACGCATAAAGACAGGGTTTTAAATATTTTAAGCAACAGTATAACTCATAATTATGTTATACATTTTAAAAATTTAGTATTATAATATTGCTTTCTAAAAATCTGATTTATATTATCAATTTTTATTTATTGAACCTTTTTAATTTTGATTCTACATTTACATAAGTAAATTATTTTGACTGATTTTAATATACTATTTTTGAATTACTTTTGCCATTTTCTGAATATCTATTTAGGACAGAATGTATTACACTATTATTTAAAATATAGTTTACGGATCTTGTGTATCTGAAAATGATCAACACTACCAGGTACTTATATCTATATATCAAGTCCTACCGTCGTTCTCCATTCATTGATTGAGGTTGGTTGTTGTGGTCACAGTGATGCTGTTGGACCCAAAACTGGGTCCCCTGAACACAGCCCCAGGCGAGGCTATCCCTCACAGCTGACCTGTTGGACTTGTATCACCAAGTCCCCTGTTAACCACGACAGGCGACACATTATCACATTATATTATTACAAGTTACATAATATTTGTTTCGGATCTACATTAAGATCATATTTAGTGTAGTTTTGCATGTAACATGCGATTTTGGGGAAAAGCCAAAATGGTTGTGGTGATAAATGACAAAAAATCATAATGGCTTTGCACATTACTTTGGGCGCTGATTAACACTTCTGTGACTGTTTAAAAAATCAATTGAAATCTTATGCTGTGTTTTAGGTTGGGTGATTGATAAAGGAGATGTTTATTCACAATAAGAAATATTTTGTTTTTTTTTAATTAAATTTTATATAAACATTTTTCGAATTTTATAAATAAACAATATCTTAAATGATAACACAACATTAAGAGTACATTTTTTATATTCAAATAATTCAAAATAAATTTATTAATTCATGAGTTTTCACTTGCATCTTCAGCTTGAATTTCATTCCTATTTGATAAATCATTCCATGGTTGAATTTCAGCTGTTCCAAATATAACATATATTAGGTTTCCTACAAAGAAAATAGCAGCAGAGTATAAAAACACCATTCCCCATTGCTCTTTATTGCTCTAAAATAAATATAAAAGTATGTAAAATATAAGCATATTTTTAAAATTAAAATATCTTACACTGTCAGTCACAATGAACCCTACTAATAAGGGTCCCAATATAGAAGTTATATTAGCTAAACTATTAGTAATTCCCATTAATGTGCCTGCGAAATTTGGTGCCAAATCCATGTGATTGGTTAAAAATCCTGTGAAAATTCCACTATTTAAACTTAGAGCAACAGTCAATAATATTATTGCTTCCATTGCTGATGTATCAAATAGATAAAGGACAAACAATGCTAAAGCTCCACCCCAATGAGCAATACTATTCCACATTTTTCTTTGATTTGTATCGCTCATCAAACTATTTATCTTAATATAATCACTTATCCAAGAAAACAGTATAATCAGGATCCACATGATTAAGTAAGGTAGTGCAGATAAAAATCCGTTCTAAATAATAGTACACAATATACAAGTATGAACATTATATTTTAATTATTTGAAAAACTTACCGATTTGATGTTAAATTTCAGTATGTAATTGATATAAGTTGGCATGTTCGTTAATAAAATCCAAAATCCCCAGTTTTGTGCCATATGTGAGATTAAAAGCGTCCACATGGGCATGGATTTTATTATCTTGCTCCATGGAGTTGGCAAAAACTATAAATATTATTTTTTCAAGTTTATTAAAATTGAAAAAAATGATTGAAAAATGTATGTAAATTACCTTTTTCGATGTAGTATTACTTAATGAGGTAATTATGTACTTTTTTTCTGCCTCACTTATGGTATGGTGTTCTGCTGGACTGTTAGCTCCCATTAAACACCAAGCCAGAACCCATACTAAAGCTATCACTCCTCCAACATAAAATATAGACGGCCAACCACCTACACTACTAGCCAAAAATCCTGCTACGGGAAGCATAACTAGTGAACCAAATTGTGTGCCACTAAACACAAATGAAACTAAACGACTTTTTTCAGACTTGGGTGCCCATTTTGATAACATAACATTTATTACAGGAAATATGAAACCCTACAAAAATTATTAAATTGTATTATTAAATATTATTCTATTATGGTTTATATTTATTTTATGGAATTGGTCATGTAATGTGTAATATTTTTAAATGACGTTTCATATTCTGCCTCATTAATTGAGGTTAACTATACATTGGAATTTATCTGAAATTAATTTAAGATTATATTGTTTACCTATTGGTAAATATTCAATAAAATAAGTAAAATTAATTGCTGCCCATCAATAAATTGATTTACATGAGTTTATTTTTTAGTCTTAGTATTTCAAGCTTGTGAGGATAAATTTAAAAATACACGAGCATAAATTAGATGAATTGTACCTAATGTAGTATCATACATTTTTAAATTATTGAAGTTTCTTAAGAGTTTTTTTTACTGATTAATTATGACCGAATCTAATTATTTTAATTTACTTGTGCCATTCCTTGAACCATACGGTTTAAGCACATAGCTGCAACACCGCCGTGTATTGCCGATATTGGAGTGATGATTGTTAGAAAGGCACTGACTCCTATAGAACCTACTAAGAAATATTTTCCTCCATACTTCTGTGCCATTTGTCCAGCATACACTTGAGTTATTAGATAGCCCCAAAAGAATGAACTTAAAACTGTGCTTTTTGTTGATTCATTCCAGTGTAACTCCTGTAAAGTTAATCAAATTATTTCGTGCTATTACCTATACCTAATATAATTCTTTACATTAATATGTTACTTACTATAAACTCTTGATTGGCGCTTGACTTATCGGTCATGGCTACAATACCAACCGACAAATTTACTCGCATTGCGTATGCGATAACCATGCATAAGAAAAGAAGTAATATTTGTTTGTGTCGTTCGCCCCATGAAAATGTATCAGTAGAATCTGTCAATGAAAAAATTATTTTTGACTCTGTCCGTATATCAATATTACATTTAACAAGTTATATCTCTAATGGGCTGCGTTTTTTTATTTTTAGAAACTAAAATTTGTTTAAACTTTGATGTTGATGTAAGATTCCTAATTGTTATAAAACGTAACTTTTACTCTCATTAGTAACGATATTATACTTAAGTTTTAACTTATTTTGTTTAATTGTACAAAAATTACACATTTTATGTGTTATTATTTCTTAATGAATTGTACATATAGTAATTCATTATTATCACACATTTTAGGTTACGAATCTTTCCATATTTAAATGCAATCAGTTTAGATTATTAATAAATATCTAAAATGTTATTTTTTATTTGTTTAAATGTACTTAGCTTCATAATTTACGCGATTCTTAAGTACTCGTCTCTTGGGTCTTTATTTAAATAGTATTAAACTTGATTGTGGCAATATTTTTCACAGATACTTATATGGTTTTTTTTCGTGTTAATACCAAGAACCGAGCGAGAACTGTTTATCACAATGTTACACACTCGGTTACTATTATTTAATGATAATAAAAAGATATTTTTATAAAACTTGAGTACTATCAATGTCCCGAATCAAACTTTGATTTGGAACACTTATAGTTTTACAACTAACTTTACATTGATACTTATGGTAAATATAATTCTTTATGTCCTCGTGGCCTGGGTTCTATGACCCGCTAACCTGGAAATAGCTTTGCGTTGGTCGTCTTCGCGACCAGGTCCATGACCAACCAGCTCTTACTAACTGATGGTCTTGGTGGCTCGGTGTCAAGAACCCTGCCGGCCTAGAAACTTATTTATATGGTTATGATGACTTAATATTATATACGTGTAATATTTTAGGTTCTAAGATACATTATGAATGGGGTTTCTCTTCCACCATTTTGTTTTATACGTAACAAGTATTTTAAATTTGCGCATTACATGCTATTGGTACTACTACGATACCATTGAATTAATATATATTTGGTTACAAAATATTGTATTTAAGAATATCTAAAAAATTTTATTCACTAGTTGAACTATTTATATAGAAATTAAGCTACGAAAAGTGAATCAACAAATATTTAAACAAATACTATTATTCAAGTATACATTATTAGAAAAGACAAAAACAATTACATTTTTTCATAAGGTAAGTACCCTTTACATATATTATTAACGTGTAAGTGAAATCCATAAATTGTTTTCATCATTAAAGTGTTAATTTTTTTGTTATATTTTAATTGATCAATAACCATATACATTCTATACCTACTTTACTATTTTATTTCCAATTGCCGCTTGTAACAACTATTTTATTTTTGGCCTTCAAAATTGCAAATTTCTTGGTCACGTTGATTATTTGTCATTTATTTTCTACCACTACACAGAGCCGAATTAAACAAATTCGGCCCACTGAGTTTTCCGTACGTTACCTGCAGGGGCGGATAGACATAATCTGACCGGCCTGGGAAAAATTGAATATAGCGGCCCACATGATTATATCCAAGTTCCAACAAAATAATTACCTTAACTTTGAAAGAACCAACCTGGCAATCACTACCTCTTTTTTTCGAAGTTCTTAAATATATTATTCAATTTTACACATGTTCTGAACTTTTCTAACGATTACATTTTTTATCTCTTTTCTTTTAAATTAACTTTGAAGCATACCTAGTTATATAAAGTTTTACCAATACGTGTATACTATTTACATGGATCACGTATAATTATTGTGGAAAAACATGGTATATCAGTTATCAACTTTGTCGTGGGGTTTTTTTAGTGACTAAAGATGATAATTTAAATCTGAACAATCAGTTATCATTATAGCGCGGAATTATATGCATTAAAAACCAATTAAATATGCATAAAAGAAAAAAAAATATTTTATTTTATACTAATACTCGAAATGGTGCAAAAAAAATTACATTAAAACTATGTAACCCGACTTTAAATGGTTTTTTTCATTTTAAAGTAATTTACTAACAAAATTATTTTGTTGGTAGTTTTCATCTATAATAAATAAAGAAATCAATTATCAAAAATATATCCCAAATGAAATTTTCTTTCCTAGCACATATGTCCATCATTTTAGTTATACTTTCAAAAACCATTAATTGACGTTTGTTAGTCAACAAATTTTTATATCTTGAAAATTATAGAGCCACATCCACAAAAGCAATAAGTGGGTAACAATTATTTCATTTAATTTAGAAATAAATCTTCACCGGTTTGAATTGATTCACTTTCACCTTTTAACAATTTTAAATATTTTAGTATATCGGAGTCTTCATTTTTTGATAATATTATTTTACATTTTTTATAAACAGATTAACCCCTTTTATTACAATACCTGGTAAATATTAAAAAAAAAAAATAATTATAAAAAAACCATTGAAATATGCACTAAAAGATAAAATATGCAATTAAAAACGTAAAAAAAAGGCTTTAAAATAAAAATAAATGGGTGAATATTGTAGTATACAAAAATCCCTATGCTCAAAAAAAATGTAATCGTCTAAATCGTTACGAAACAAATGCTGTGAAAGCTTAACATGTAGGACCAACTAGAACTAATATACACATGCATATAAATTCGCGCTCTAGTTATTATATTGGCATCATTTGGAATATTCATAAAAATATTTTGCCACTTTTGTTGTAGTTTATCCAATAATATTAATATATTTATTTTAATAAGTAATACCATATGTTAGGCGGTTTTTGCATGAAACCGTTTTCGCTTCGATATTGCGTGATTCTGTGAAAATTGTCGTGTCATGACTGAGAAATGTCATGGACATAAATCTTGAATAGAATGGAACCAAGAAAATTTGGATTATGGAGAGGGCCATGGCCCCGGACCCACAATGGGTATCAAATTATAATGGGCCCCTGGTGGATAGTACGTTTTTTTTTTATTAATTTAGGAATATTTGTATAAAATACGTTACGTTTCTTATAGGTTTTACTATATCGACAATGGCAATATGTTATTATAATATTGACTGTATTGTCTATTTTTTAAAGGACGATAATGTTAAGAAAGAATTTATAAGAATATTCAAGTACAGTGAATAACGTCGATTATCATTATGAATTTACGGCGGTTGAAATATTACTAGGTTTTTAAGATACAGCTATAAAACATATACCTACCTATTTATTTATTACTTATAAACATAGTTCTCTAAAATTGTTTGTCCCCGGGCCTAAAATCACCCTAATCCGAGGTTGAAATCAAGTTTAGAGTTCTGAGGTACACCGGCAGATATATATATATATATGTTACGGTAATAGTACAAATACCGGTGAAACCTAGGCTTTACCTACTGTGATCGGTAAAACCTAGGATATACATTATGCATATTGCATGGCAAACCCCGAATGATTTTAGAAGTTCTGACTTTAACCAATGAGTGTTGGTAAATTTTAGGATTAACAATCAATGATTATAAAATTCTGAAATTATATATTTTTTCCAATTCTGTGATAATTCTTACTTGTATTTATTCTTGTGCATTTGTGTTGATATCAAAAGTTTTTATCATTGTATCTTCAATGATTAAGATTTGGAACAGATTTAATAGAAGATTTATTTAATAAATTGATATCGGGCCCAATTGCAGGAAATAATTTTACGAGAAGTATTCATTTTATAATTGTCGCGGTTAGTATTACAAGTATACACAGTATTCAGTATATCGCTTACAATACGATTTTATGAAATTTTAAATGGTGTTGTTAAGTTAAAAAATAACAAAAATAATTTTTACTATAGTGAGGAAAAATATAATATATTATTAAGAGAAGTTAAAGTAACTAAATCTGTTAATGTGAAAAAAACTGTTCTGATGAATGATGATTTCGAAGTAATGTATTATGTTCGCTATAATGAGTTATATTATGCTCATATTGCAACAGGCCATGTAAGTAGACACCATATTATGTATGAAGTTAATAGTATATACGAACATTTTAACATTGAGTCAATATATATAGGTAAAAATTATCACAGAATTGAAAAAAATATATAAATTCGGACTTTTACAATCATTGATTGTTAATCCTAAGATTTACCAAAACTCGTTGATAAAAGTCTGAACTGCTAAAATCATTCGGGGTTTGACCAAGCAATAATGTATATCCTAGGTTTTACCAAAAAAATTTGTAAATATTCGAATTTCGGACATTTACCGATCGCAGTCGGTAAAACCTAGATTTCACCGGTATTCGTACTGTTACCATAACATCTGCTAAAAATTATATACTTCAGATCAGAGGTGTTATTGTTTATTTTTATGGATAACTAGGTGCCTGTTTAATAAAAATGAATTAATCATATTGAATAAATGTTGAATGTTTATATATTTTAGTTTATACAGAAAGCTGGAACTGATTAAATTACTAGAATATCGGGCTGTTTATCAACATTCGAAGGGAAATATTTAAGTTTATTAGAAATAAGTACATATATTTTATGGCATGTAACACTGCACTCTCAATTTGTATGTTTAGAATCCAAATCACCTGCCATTATGATAGAGTGTTATATACTCATTATTTTTTTCATAATCTGTTTTATGCATTTGGTGACTGGGTTTTTGATAAGCGCTGACAAAAGTAACAAAACTATTATTTATATTAATAAGCATTGCTATGACTTCTAGGCTTTGAAGATTAAGGTTTAGGCATTTGTTGTTTGATATTGTATATAAGAACAAAAATAACAACTCCGCCCATAGCTTATAAATTTGTTACACGGTAAGCGCAATTAGATGACCTAAACAAATGCCCAAAACGAAAATATTACCTTTAAATATTTTAAAAATATATAATAAATATTAATTATTAATAACTATATTTTACAGAATTATTTAAATTATAACATTATGAAAAATTAAAAAAAATAAAAAAATTAAAGGATTTTTATAATTTTACTAGGCACTGCTGCTGAATGTTTTAAATGATCTGAAATTAATAATATAAAAAAAATCTTTCTTCTCTTTCGCCTTTCTTCTAACTATTTGGAATTGGCCACCTTTGTTCTTAACTTCCACTAGTTTCAGTTTTCTATATCCCCAACGCACACATCAACGGACCTCATATCTTTCTCAATCGTATTCAACCATCTCATTTTAGTCTTCTTCTTCTTCTCTTCTCTTTAACGTTTATTTTCATAACTACTCTTACTACTTTTGTTTCTTCTCGTCTCATATGTCTAAACCATCTCAGTCTATTTTCTCTCGCCTTGTCCACTACCGACGCTATACCGATACTACCTTTCACTTATTCTTTATTCTATTTTCTCTTGTAACTCAACTTATCCATTTCAGCATTCTCAATTCCGCAACACTCATACTTTGTTCTATTCCCCTATTAACCGCCCAACACTCTGAACCCTATTGCATAGTTGATCTCGCACACTCCTGTAACATTGGACTTTTCGAACGCAGAAAAGAATATAGTGGTTATGTCAAAGAAGTTGTTTGCTGATTTATCCTTTGAAATTTATCCTAACCTAACCACGTAAGTGTTTACCACATGTAATATATTGCTAAATTGTAAGCTTTTTATCTGCTGAAACATCAACTTCACAGACTTTACAGTATAACACTAAACCATCGGTAAAAAGGACGTTCGATCCAAATTCCGAAACATAAAGCCGCATACGATTCAATTGCAATGATTTTTGTTTCGGCCTATTGTACAAATATGTCGGTATGTACTCTCGAAAGTCAAAACAATAATTAAATTGGTAAATATACCTATCAAAACCATATATAGGTTCTTTCAACATCACTATCATATAATTTAACGATTTAGATAACTCTCGGTATCGAATATTATTATTTGGTATTAATTACTTAAATGATTGGTTTTACCATATTATCGGTCTCAAGTATTTATTTAACAGGCTATCTTTATAAAAAAGACAATATTGAATTTTAATATATTTTCTGTTATGAGTGTAAATGAAAATAAAAAAATACTACTCACATTTCAATAAAGTATAAAAATTACCATAAATTCAAAAAATGCAAAATTAAAACTATTTGAACTTGTATGTGACCAAATTACATTTTATGCTTGAAAAAATTTATCCTGTATGTATATCTTAATAAAAAAAAATACAAATTTTTATACTATCCTAGCCCTACTGATAATCAACTGCGTTTAGTCAGCTAAAAACAATTTATTTTTGGCTACCATACAGGGTTGGACTAGCTTTATAGATCGGCCTGGGCAAAATAATTTCAAACGGCCTCAATGGAACTTTATAAGTAGGTAGGTACCTGATCAAATTATTGTTTAGCTGAAAATGTATCTTCGTAACTCAAAAAACAATATTCACACAGGTACATTTGAATATTTTCAGATTTATACCTTAAATAAATCTAGTTTACGCATAATGTATCTTATCTATAATATTGATATAATGACCTACCTATTAAGATAAATTTTACACCAAAAAAAATGATTTGATTTAAATATGTTCATACATTTAATTTTAATTGAGTAAGAACAGTAGGGTCGGCAACTAATGTCTCTTTTATGCGGCCCACGGTAAATTTCAAAACTAGCAAATGTCATTAAATATCATATACATTTTTTATATTGTCTGGCTCTAGAACTATTTTTAATTTGTGAATGTGGCCCAAAGGTCCATTAAGATTGGAAACTAGTAACAGACTTGTTATTGACTGAACGTCAAAACTATTAAAATGTTTTTGAATAAAAGTCTAATAAATCTTATAAAAATTATTACTATCGAAAAACAATTTCGTTAACGCATATCTTGCTTGACAATGTCTACCCATACCATGGTCTTAGAAAATTAATCTTCTAAGACCATAACCCATGCCAACATTTTATTTTAATAATTGTTTGAACAAACGCGAATGGTACTTCGTATGATTAACATATTGTACACATCTTTTGTATTCAAATTTCCTACAATTTTTCTATTTATAAATATTCTGATGATATCATTGTTATCAATTGCCCTATCGCGACATTAAAAATGTTAAATTTTCAAACTCCTAGTTACCTAATCTTGTGTCACCGCATCCATTAGTAATGTCATGTTACAAGACGATATTTTTTATTTTATTTTACGAATAGAAGATAGACGCATTAAATTAAAAACAAAAAGCTAAGTAATTTTATTTAACCAAAATTACAGCAGCCCACCGGGGCATGCCCCGGTGCCCCGGTGGCCTAGTCCAACCCTGCTACCATACATCAAAAGAGCAAAATGTTGTTAGTAATTGTGTATTATTATTTTTATTATTTTGTTTTTTTAACTAGAGCAAAGTCTGCGGTTAGGGACGCTATTTCAACGAAAAAACTGGGGGTGCTGAAACCCTTCTATCTTTTTCGTGTTCCTTAATGGTTATAAACACCCGCAACCCGTACAATTCAACAGTTACTTAAATATTCGGTAAATATTTGAATATTTCTAAATTTTAATTGTTTACTTTGATTTTATATTTATTTTTTTAACACTTTTTTTCGGATCGAAATACCAGTCCAAAAGTTTTTTCTAGGAATTTTAGATTTTAAATTGGCATGCATTGGTACAGACTTTAGCCTATTTACGCCCTAGAGTAATACATTTCCGCTCCCAGGGATGTAGACAGATGCACCCGAAAGATAAGGTACTACAATAGAACCTCGATTAACCGTCAGTCTTGGGACAAGAGCTTTGACGGATAATCGAAAAGACAGTTAAGCAAGCAACAAAAATTTAAACATACATACATATTATTTATTTAAACGAACGTGTGAAAAATAAATTTATTTATTTTTAACTGTTTTATAACACCCATTAAAAATATATGTATGTATATACATATATACCTATTGCTTATCTATTAGATATTGTCAGAAAATTTCGGATTATATATATTATTATTTATAACTAGGGCCCAGAATTATATGCACTAAAAACGTACGAAATATGCATGCATTTATGCAATGGTTATCAATCAAATATGCACTCAAAGTATGCGAAAATATGCAAACAAAAATTCACATTTATTATTTATTAAATTAATTTAATTTTAAAATGTATACAATTCATTAAATAATTAATATTCAACAAAAAATATACTTTAAAATATATCAACTGTATTTTATATATTTTATTGAATTGTATGGAACTGTATGTTGTATTGAAATTAAATTTTATTTCAACACTCACTCATCTAAACAAAAATTCACAAACGAAAATCAATTTAAACAAATCAAGCGGATTTTTATAATATTTTTAAAGTTACCTGGAGATTTACTATCGTACTGGTACTTTTAGCAAACTTTATCTTATCTTATAACACAAAAATCAAATTATATAACTGCACGATTCGCGGAATCGATGGACATGCCCTAAATAATAAATAATAATATTAATAACTTCATAATATTTTTTTTCTATATATGCATTATATTTCAGAAAAATGATAAAATATGCATAATAATTTGAAATGTTCCAATTATGCAAAAATATGCCAAATTGAATTTCGCATACTTACACTTTATGTTAAGATTCAAATTTCTGTCTTACCTAGCTACTTTTTAGTTTAATGTATGAAAATATGCAAATGCATATAATTCCGGGCCCTCTTTATAACCTACTCCTATACAAGTGGCCTGACGGTTAACTGAGAAAGACGATTAATCGGGGGATGGATAATCGAGGTTCTACTGTACCTACCGATTTATGGCCCATATGCGCCCATTTCGCATACAACGTTGTAATTGTGATTTATAATATAGATTATTTTTATCTTGATAAATACTTAAATTAAGTAGATTAGTATAATATACTATTATAGTACTTTAATAATAATTGTCTAAATAATATAGTTTAAATTTTATAATTTTTTCAACATTTTGGGTTTAAAAAAATTAGTCAATAAGACAATAGCGGGTAACTCGATAATGCCCATCATTATGTGCAATAGTTTTAACTTTATAAGGTTAATAAATAGTATGGCTTGTATTCCAGAATACAATTTGGCAACGTTGCACGGGTTTAAAACATTTTTATTAAAAATATTTCGGGCGCAAATGGGTTATAAAAAAGGTGTGATGGGTGCAAATGGTTTTCACCGGTGGTACATTAGATAGGTCTTTTTTTTTTAAATCTTAAGAGTTTTTCCAGGCGTGAGAAAAAAACTGTCTTCCAAAAGTAATATGGCTAGAAACTTGAAACTTTTACCCTATAGTAAAAATATTTTGTTTCGTATTAGAATATATTTTTAAAAAGCGCTTTTGATTTAATTATAGAACTTTAAAAATACCTAATTTTTGGAAAGTCTTTAAATAATACAATTTTTATTTTTGAATATGAAGTGATAATGTAATATCACTTTACTCATATACGAGTTCTAATTTACCGATACTGAAAAAAATTTAAAAATCGTTAGCCTGAAATTTATTTCATAAACGTTTAATTAAATTATTATACCTACGATTTTTACGGATTTTACTGTTTTTACATTAATTTTTAACATTAAATGTTAATTTACAAAAAATTGGTCCATCCAATTATAATGAAACTTTAAATAAAGTTAAATATTTGGTTAAAAAAAAATTTCTTCGTCAAACAATATAATGTTAAACAGGTAAATAAAAAAAAGAACCTACCAATAATTAGACTAAAGATGGTAAAATATACTCATAAATGGTTGATTTTTATACTGAATTTTTGCTCAGAACCGTTTTGATAAAGAAATTACTTATCATTTCTTGAAAACTCAGTAAATCTACAGTAGGGGGACTGGGGGAATAACGGTCAGCGGGTAATATCGGTCACCCTGGTATCTAATAAACTATGGTATCTAAAATTGTTCTAACTACATAAATACATTAAGAATGATTACAAATACTTATTCTTATCACGAAGATATTATCATCAAACGTTTTCACGTTCAAATCTGACTTTAACGATTTTGTTAGTGGCTAATGTAAATTTTTTTTTTTCAAACATCAATTAATATATTATAATATATGTCTACTTTTTAGTTAATCTTATAAAAAAAATTATGAGGTTTATATTTTTCTACCCAAAACATGCATTGGTATAGTAGTTTTATGGTTATAAATATTTTTCCATAACTTATTAAAATGGGTAATATCGGTCAAAATTAATGAGGATATTTAAAAACTTTAAGGATTATGTATTCAGGTGGTTTGAGTGACTGATTCACTATATAATTAAACAGAGATATTGTTAATTTTTTTTATTGTTAAGTATTTTTCATAATTTTTATTGGATTTTATAACTTTAATTTGAGAGACTAATATCGTTATTAACCTACATTGTAATTTTGTTGATTTTTATTGAAATAAATCAGATTACACTGAATACCGGTCATTTGAATTTTTTTAAAAAAATTAAAAAAATCGTGTATCCAAATTTTTTAAAAATTTGAGGCATTGATATAAAAAAGAAAACAAGTTTGAGTATCCATTTTTTCAAGTAGTATAGAGTTTAGTGTCAAAGAACCTGAGATATAATAATTTTTGCTTAAGTGACCGCGGTTCCCCCATTCTCCCCTATATTTACTACCAGGCTTGCCACCTTCAAATAATTCACTTATCCCGAGTTGCGAGAAAACTGTGTAATTTAACAATTTTTCAATGAGAATTCTACTAAAAAAAATTATATTTAAGCTAAATGCATTTCTAATACAAAATATAAATGGCATATAAATTAATAACCATAAAATTTCCTTTAAATTTTTTGAAAACAATCAATTTTAATGGGTATTCATAGTTTTAAAATAAATTGTAATTAATGATACATAATATCATATGTTTGAGCTCACTACCAATCAATTATTAAGGTAAACTATCTATATATTTAACTATGTAGGTTTATTATACACATTTTGAAATATTTAATTTTTATAATTAACCGGCTACATCTCATTTACGTGGATTTACTTTTTTTACCATTTTATTGCACACCAAAACCGCATTTAATAACCATGCCTTATTATACAATAATCATACATATTATACTATGTACTTGCTATAAACTGTTCACGATAGTAAAATCAACTGTCAGCAAACTGAGTTATAATATTTAAATAAAGTCTTTAAACTAGCTACAGTTTGTAATTCTTACTATAGTAAGTGTAAATTTATTCAAGTCACTGTTGAAGTAAATACATAGTACCTATATTACATTATGTAAACATTTAACATTCTGTATGATAATAGTAGTTATAAGTAGTAATAATATTTTTTGTATAATGAGGTTATTACAATTTATATGTGCATGTGATGATAAATTGTTTTTCTTTGTATCACAATGTAAAACATAAAAATATATTAGTTTTGATACAACATGAAAATGAATTTATACTATGTACAAACGATCAACAGCTATCTTAGAATGATTACAATTGTAAAAATTTCTTTAGTATTGGTTTATATGTATCTAGTAAGGAAATTAAACTACAATAATATAACAGTACAATGAAAAATTTATTTTTATTACCGAATATATTTATGGAATAATTATTATGAATCGTAATATTATTGTTTTATTTACATTTAAAATACATAAATGTATTGATAGTTGACTAATAGAATATTAATTAGTATAATAATTACCGTGATTTCATAATGTATTAATATCGTATTGTATTCCATTTTAACTATGAAACAATATTTTCTTTATTTATACAAATTACAAGTGAAGTGAGTAATGTCATTATGAAACAATGAATATATTGATATTTGGATGTTCTGGAACGTTTATAAAAAATAATATTATTCATAATAGATAAAGTTTAGTTCCTTGCATTAAAATTTGAAATACATCTAGTGAAGCTTCCAAATGCTATCTTGTCTTGGTTATATGTTACTGATTAGGTATTCAGGTAGATACTACTGTAGTAGTTCATTGGGTCGTAAGAAACATCACTTTGGTTTACTGGGAAGTAATCCTTGGATATCTTTATACTTTTTCCTTGTCCCTAAAACAGTCGTATTAAGTGACTTATATAATTATATGGTGTGAGCTAAAATAGTTTATAAAATACAATTCAGTATTAGAATTTTACTTAATTTTAAAACTTAACTTACTTATTTATAGAAAAACGATTGTTTATGGTAAAATTAATAATTTTGTCGAATTTATCAAATATGTAAAATATAAGAACAATAAATAATAAATAATTATATAAGAATTGTCAAAATATAGGTTTTATTATAAGGCCGCAAAGCAAAAGTAAATAATAAAAATATTAAAAAAAATTATCAAAATAATCGTATAAATAAAGGTTTTTACAATTAAATTTATCATTTATTAAGTACTCTTTTCAATCATTGTTTAACCGTTTATCAGTTCATATTTTAAAAAATTATTTGGTAGTACAAAGAGTCAGCAAATTTTTTAGTAAAAAGCATAAAACTTTGTAACTCAGAGCTCAGCTTATAAAAATAACTACCTACTAAAGTATGTAATTCGGATTGAGTAAAATTTTTATTTGGGATTTGAATAAATTTTTAGGTACAGTTTACACTTAAACAGGCTACTAAATTGTAGAATTTTACGTATTTACGTTACTTAAAATAATTTTCTTTAAAACACTTCAAAAATATTTGGGTAGTCAAATCCCGCAAATCATTTTCTTGATCTCGATACTTGATTTAAGATATACTATCGTATAATTATTAAAAATGTATAGAATTCATACGACTTTGATTGGGTATTCAAAAACTCTACGATTTAAGTGTTTATAATAATATATATATATATATATTTTTCAAATAGTGAATTATAACAAAGTTATTGTACTGTGTTTGTAATATTGTAATATTCTTAATACTTAATAAATATATGAGTGAATAAATTGAAAACAATCATTGTTCTTATCCAATGGGAAATACATTTTATTTAACCAAAACACTTTCCGAAGAAAAGTAATTTGCTCAAATTATTATTTTATATTCAATTTTTCTTCTAAAAAAACATTTTCTAAAAATGTCCAAATTATAATTACTTAAGAATATGCCACTTTCCATTTGTTTATCCTATTTTTTTGCGATTGTCAGCTGATAACCTTATATGTACATACAAAGATCGAATTTACATTTCCACCAAAGTATCGCTATGATCTAGTAATCAGTTTTCATTTATTTAAATAAAATCAACGTTTTTAGAGATTAATATTAGTGTTCATTTATATGTGATAGACATTTACAGATTTGAAAATCATGGTATATTATTATTTTATTCAATAATCTACATCGTTAATTGTATTTTACCTTTTTCCACTTCAGATTTTTTATCATCCTCCATAATGTACAGATCGTTGTCAATAAACTCACTGGCACACTGTATTAAAAAAACTTCCAGATACTAAAAGAAAAAACATGTATTCTGGTATGTTTATAAATTTTTATTATAAATGTTTAAATGTATAAGGTAAATGTAAATGTAAGGTACACACAACAATTCAGTCAGCCGTTTGTTAGCATTAATACTGATCGGTATTCTATCGATAAATCGTTAATATATTAATCGAACGATAGATTTCCACCTCCATACAGCGATCACATGGACTTTCATTTGTGTTCAACGTAACGCAGTTAAAATATATATATATATATATATAAACGGTATTATTATTATTCATTAGTATATAATACTTATAAATGCGCTGCGCAATTATAAACACACGTTTGTCCGGTTTCAATACTCAGTCAAAACAATTATTATTATATCACTGCATTAACTTTAATATTAGATATAATTGATAGCTTGTAATTTATTTTTTGTCACGATAGATTAGTTATGTATCAAGTATTTATTCGTTATCATTGTACATGGAAATGTTCATTATTGTGTGTCTGGACTTAATAATGGAATATGCACAAGCTCATATTACTATTTTTTATATTACTTCAAATGGTGGATTGATGTTTATTCCAGTTTCAGATCACGATTACAGCGGCTGATGAGTCCGATGATGATATAATATTATAATGTTGTAGTATTACGCACGTAAAAACAGTCGGCAACTGTTATTGTGTTACTCTTACATTACACAATTTACGCGTCATCACATTGCTTTTGTTGTTTCCTTTTTGCCTGGGAGACTACTATGTTTATTTCGGACAGTTTACAGAAACAATTCCCAGATAAAATTGCACGCTTAGAAACGCCCATTGCACGGAATGGTTGGTGAAGGTTTTTATTTTGGTAAACGTTCTAAATAAGTTGAAAAGTATGTTCATATTAATAATGAATATTTATATGAGTAGTTAGCTCATCGCTTTTAAGAACCGTAATAACCAATCGTATTCGATTTCCTAGGAATAAATACACTCATGATACGGTCTTATTTGAATACATGAATACATGGTTCGCTATAAAACGAATTTATGATTACCACTATATATGTAGGAGTAATTTATAGTACTAATAATTGAATATACCCACAGAAGAGATAGGTTCACTTTTATTTATCTTAGTTATTAACCCGAAAAACTTTAATCGTTATAAGTGTTACATAACCATTCATTAAATATTTGAATATCAATTCGGTGCCAGTACGGTATAATAAAACAATATCATAGGATTTTTAGTTCGAATATGAGATGTATAGTTTAAGCCAGCTTTAGTAGAAATACTAGAATATATTAATTAGTATAATGAGAAACTATGTGAGTTTTTTTCAAAGAAGCACATAATATTTTATATTAACTTCGGTAACAATAAAATAGGTCGTCGAGTTGACGGCCTTCATTTTAATACGTGGTGATAATTTCTTTCGACGGTTCCATTAATTATTCAAGTTACAATGGTTCAAAATTAGTATAATTTTTTATGCGTATCGATGTATCATCATCAATTTCATCCAAAAACGGTTATACCGTTTAATGTTTAAAGTTGGTCAAACTTTTGAAATAGAATATTGAAATTTTGATGATTATAAAACCGAAAAGTTCTACTCACTTCACTTATAATAAATAATATATAAATATGTATATATATATATTGATATTTTAATATTATATATAATTGTTAAGTCGTGAAGTCAGACACATATGGAAAAGACAAAAAACTGCGATTACATCTTTACACAAAACGTCAACATGTTTTGTAAACATAGGTTTATTGAAATAGAGAACTGAATAACAAAAGTAAGTTTTCCAAAAAAAAAATATGAATTTTCTACCCATTTAAAGGTATAGTTGTTAATTTATTTATTTTAATGTAAAACTGGTAATAAGTATTATGTTTCTTATATATTTTATAAGGTTTGAATGTTTATTTAGTTAAAAATTTACAAATACGGAAATGTTATAATTTGAGAATTCGGTTGTTTATTTAGCACCAGTTGAAATTAATAATGGTTTTGTTGAAATAAAAATATAAAAAAAAGAAAAGTCAGTCAAGATGTTAACATCAATAATGGATTAAAAGCACTTTTGAGCCACCCAAAGAATGATTTTTCAAATATACTCTTTCTAAATAAATTATTTTGCTTATTACCAGTGTCAATAGCAACATCTGAAATATCTTTTTCAACCTTGAAAAGATATCTAATGATCAATAATGTATGAAGTTGTTTTTAATTATTTTGGAAGTATTTAATATCTAATATATAAAAATATAATTGTATTTTTAATTATATTATTATGTCGACAAGGTAAAATGGACTAACAATGGTGTTGAATCATCGGAACATATATATAGATGATGTTGAAATCATCAATGAATTGGAATTTAGTCTAAGAATTGGAAGACAAATATTGTTTTATTATATGGTAAATAATAAATAATTATTAACCAGGGCCGGCGTTAAAGAGAGACAAACGGGGCATTTATTCAGGGTCTCGCACCTTTAAGGGCCTCACGCTTAAAATTTTCATTGAAAAATATGTAAATGTTGTATGGAAATCTCATAAAATAAAACGTGAAACGTGCGGATCGCCTGGCGAGTACGATTTCTAGAGAAATCCGTTGGCGTATAATAAAAAAATCAATTAACAAAACAACAATATTATATTTTATTTGTCACGTGTGCATCAACGATGACCCGTAGGGCACGCCGCACAGTATGGATACTGGGATACATAGGAAATTTATTTTATTGCATTTCATAAATTTATTCAGTCATTGCCAGGTATCGCATATATTACATGTTATCGCCTTTAATTGCAACCTATAGCCAATAGGCGTCTATTGTTATGGATAAAATAAGTTTTGCACTGAGCCTCGCAAAAGGTAATGCCAGCCCTGGTATTAACATCAAAATAATCTTATGTTAATGCATTATAATAAATTGAATTTCTATTTAAGTGTAATGTTGGGTGGTGTGGGAGCCTCTGGCCTCACTTAAATTTGTTTGGAAAATTAGCTGGACTCTTCCATAAAAAATTGTTAAGTACGCCACTGAAAGTTACAAAAAAAATATTAATAAAGAGCAATGATTAATTAGAGATTTTTCACATAAAATAAGTATTGCATCTTTTTTGAGACATTGTAACAGAATTTATTTTATTATGAAATGAATTCTTTTAAGTTTTAAAATTTACATTTAGCAGTAAGTAAGTAAGTTATGGTTTTAAATCATATGGTCTTTTTACATTTTACTGAAACAGCTGTGAAGAGAAGATGATAGAATTCTTGCACCTGTCCTTAGTTTTTTTTTAAGTATCTAATTTATATTTTTGGTACCTATCGAACGTTAAAGGATCTGAATTAAAGATAAAATATATCATACAAAGTAAGATATAATAAAGAAGTAATAATTATTAATCTATAATATGAAGTTTGGATTTTATATCTTTTATTATAAAATATTTTAATTGTATTATTGAACTATAGGGAATAATGGAATATTACCGCTGTTTTTTATTTTAATCTTATTCGTAATTGATTTGCTATTCATAATTTATTATGCAAATTTACCTACTATAGAAATTTTATATTTTCTTATTGTTAAATAAATTAGTAGTAGGTATCAATGAAGGTTTTTTATTTTTATTTACTTTTTTTTATTGATAATTTACAACTTCGGCAACAAAGGCCATTAGTTATTTTATTTTTTTACATTTCGTTTACCTACATATTTAGATTTGGTTATAAATATTGGTTTGCTTGAGGAAGTTAATTAAATCTGCGTTGAGTTGGTGATTGGCTCCAAGAGTTGTATCGAGGTTGTGTGATATCCCGTGTTTAATCCTTTCTTGATTATACTTTATGCAGTCCGATATGATGTGCTTGACAGTGAGATTTGTTCCGCAGGTTGTGCAGATGGCGTTCCTCTTTGGCCATGAGGAAACCGTATGTGATTCTAGTGTGTCCTATCCGTAGTCTATTTATTACTGTTTCTTCTTTTCTTTTGAGTGATGAGTTATACAATTGGGTAGTGTCACCTTTGATTTCGTTGAGTTTGGTATTTTGTTTTGAACAGATGTTTTGCCATTTGTCGTTGGTGATTATTTTAATGTATTTTTTTGTGTCATCGTATGATATTTGTTCTATCAAAGGAGTATCTGTATTATTTATTGCGAGTGAAGCTTGTTCGTCTGCTATTTCGTTTCCTCTTATTCCTGCATGTCCGGATATCTACAAAATGGTTATTTTTTTTCCGTGTTCATATGCTTCGTTTAGTTTGTTTTGAATTTTTGTTGCAATGTCCCCTGGATTGAAATGGTTTTGGATGCTTTTTATGGTGCTTAGTGAGTCACTAAGAATGATGAACTTTGAATGTTCTTCTTCAATAATGATCTCAATAGCCTTTAGAATAGCCATCGCTTCCGCTGTGAATATGAACAATTGGGGGGTAGTTTGTACAGTATTTTTTTTGGGGGGAATATTATGGATAGCCCGACTCCTTCATGTGTTTTAGATCCATCTGTATACACTTCTTGGTTATTTTTATAGTTTTCTATTATGCTTTTTAAATGGTTTCTGTATATATTATGCGGTGTTTGTTGTTTGGGTAATGAATTGAGCTCTGTATTAATTGGGTATTTTCTTGTCCAAGGCGGATGGGTGATTAGTTCATTGGTTATAATATGGGGTAGATTAATTTTGTTTTCTTTGATTAGTTTTATGAGATCATTATTGTTTTTTTCGTGTATGGTGATATTGGACCTGGCGCATCTTTCTGTGTATTTAAGGTGTATCTCTATCCTTTTTATTTCGAGGGGGGGCTCCCCGGCTAAAATAAAAATGCTAAAAATTTGACTACTTCGAAATGCTCTAAATGCAAGTCTTAGTCCACTGTTGTTAACACAATCGATAATGTTAAGTTTGGAGTTAGATGCTGTTTTATATAATATTGCTCCGTAGTTCAGTTTGGATTGAATTAAGGATTTATGAATTTTTATTAAGGTGCTTGTGCTTCCTCCCCACGAAGTATGTGATAGAATTTTCATTATATTGATTGCGTTAGTGGTGTTTGTTTTTAGATATTTTATGTATGGGGTCCATGATAGCTGTCTATCAAACAAAACGCCAAGCATTTTCACTGTGTT